TGCGGGTGAGGCCGATGATCTCCTCGCGGTAGCCGCCGCCCGCCGCGCTGCCGTTCATGCTGCGGCCTGGCGGTGGACTGGCTCCCGGGGCAGCCGCTGTGGTTTTTTCAGCCGGCGCCGCGGAGCGCTGGGAGTTGTAGTTCGTTCGGGCAGAGCTGAGGCACGGCTGGTTTCCTCGGGAAGAAGGTAAAGGAGGAGTAAGGGGGGTTGTGGTTGTTTAGGGTGGGCGCAGGAGAGGAAGATGTGTGGTCTGTTCCCAGTCCTTTCAAGCGGGCACAGGGTAAGGTGAAAGGCAGATCAGAGAGCGATGGGCAGGAGGAAAAGTCTGATGTGGGTAAGTAGCACAGAGAGCATCCATACCAGCACTTATTTATCCTGCTGGGGAATAAAGTGGGATTCTAGATGGAGAAAGACCTAGTATCACCGTGCTGACTGCCACTGCTGGGACAAAACTGTTCCTCCCAGACATGTGGAAGGGGAAAGACTGGGAAGGAATCATTGGGGTTGTGCAAGAGGTATCCACGGCCAAGGGAGAGCCACAGGGAAGGAAACCCACTGCAGGTGTCGCACTGGGTGGATTCCAACCTGTTTTATTCTTTCAGGGTTCCAAAGGGAGGCTTTCCACTTTTCCCCCTTTTCTGGCATCTAATCCAAGAAGCAGTACTTAACAATGTCCTGTAGAAGGTGTTTGGTTTGAGGGTTTGAGAAATTTCCACAAAACTCAACAGATAGCTACCTATCAATAAAGTGCAAAGTAGTTCACCTTTCTGTCTAACAGAGGAGCCACCTGAACCTGGGACTCTGTACCTCAGGGATTTCTTGAAAGACTAGATTATCAGGAAATAGCAAGGCAAAATTCATCCTTACGTATTTCCTTCTTAAACTTTACCCTTATCTACTTCAGCACATGGTACAAGTGTGTCAATACAGACAAGGACAATAGGGAACAATGAGCAGGCCTTAAATATTGCAGGAATTCTGGGTGGGGGAGACTTGCAGAATACTTCCAAAGACTTTACAAATTCAGTTAACTTGTGCAAGCCCACAGACAGCTCCTCTTGGTAACATACACAGCACTTCTCAGAAGCCAGCAGTCAAGGCACTGGAAAATTTCCAGAAAACAATTTGTTCTTGTGAAATGTCAGATTTGGTGTCACTACATTGTTGAAGTATATCTGATGGTTCAAAAATGTAATGTTTACTGGTATGATCTGGATAATCCTTCTCTCTCACAAAATGAAGTCTGTTCCCTGTGATCTACCCCCCTCCTGAAGGGCTGCACCCTGTAAACACTTAAAAGCACTTAGGCAACAGATGCCTGCAGCTCAATACCTGGGTTTTGCCTGTTTGTTTGTCACAGATGTGAATTAAATCATCAAATCATAGAATGCTTTGGTTTGGAAGAAACTCAACAGAAACTGCCAGAGCAATTTTTTTTTCTATTTGGTTGTTAATTAATGACACAAACAAGGCGTTCACAAACATCTCTCTCCCTGAAGAAAACATTAGATGGAGTAAACTGAAAGAAATAATTTATCTGCACCTTTGCATTTTCAAACTTTGATGTGAAGCATAAACACTATACCTACATGTGCTGGTTTGAAAGCAAACCAGTGAGAGACTCCAAGTCAGAAGTACAATTTAATATGAACAACACAGCAAAACAACAACAAATGCAACAGTACAAAAACAACCTGACAGAGTCAGAAAGTAACCTGACACCCTGTCAGTCAGGGTGTTAGTAGTAGTCCGATTAAAATGGTAGCTGCAGTCCTCCTGGAGCGATGGGTTTGCTGGAGCAGTGATCCAGCAGATCTGCTCCTCTCCCGAAGATCCAGCAGCAGCTCTTGTCCTCTGGGGATCCAGCAGGCAAAGGGCTCCCTGTGCTGGTCCAAACCCCAGCTTATATCCCTGCGAGCATGTTTGGCTCCCCACCCCTGGGGTGAGTCACCTCACAATGGGACAAGGCGATAATGGATCACTGGGCGGATGTGTATGGGTCCTTGGCAGCCCATTAATCAGAGACAGCCCCCTGAGGGAGCCATCAGGGACATGGTGATAAGGATCACTGCCCCACCTTCTTTAACAGCTTGTGGAGACGAAAATAGAATACATACCATTGCAACCCAGGACACTACAGTTTACCCAACTATTTCAATCTAAGAGCTCAGGGCACAAAGAGCAGCATATATTACTGTCTGCATTAACTTAAAATAAGACAAACAAAGGTAACATTTGTTCTGCATTTAATGATATCACATGAGATTAGAATTATTCAGAATATGTTGATTTTGGTGGTTCTGCCCAAGGGAGATTTCCTGAAGTGCATTCAAAGCTACCGTTTGTTGGTCTTCGGCAAGGGCTTTTTGGTGGATTTTGCCTCACCAGGTCCTTTTGGAACTGCTGGGTTTTTTAGTGTTTGAAACAACTGCAATCTTCTGTGGAATTGGGCCTTTATCCTCCTAAGCCATCCCACTATTTCCCGTTTGTAACGCACAGTAAGGGTAACTCCAATGATACAGAGAGAAAGAAGAATAAGAATTATTAGTATTATTTCTCCTCTCTGCAAACTCTTCCTGGCTGGAGGGGGTCCACTGTCAATGCTACCTCCAAATCCTTCCGATTCACAGTACGGAGGAGCCCAGCCATACTCACAGTGACAGTTCTTTCGATTGTTACACACTCCTCTGTTGTGACACTTTGTCACGTTGCAGTCGTAGTTCAGCACTAATATGCTCATACATGTCCTGTTGATACAAAGCATATCACGACCACACGGTGTGCCATCTTCCACAGCTCCCACATCAGCTATTGGCATCCCTACGTGATAGTCGAGACCCCAGCAGTTTTTACCTCCAACAGGAGTTTGGACTAGTGTTACGTGGTTTGTCAAGAAAGGTAATTTGACTATGTTTTCACACTGAATTCTACCACATAAGATATTCTCAATACTGCATTTTGTAAATTGGATATTGTTATGAATACCACAATTCCCAAACCGGTCACCCTGAATATTCACTGCTTTGAAGCACTCTAAAGGAGCAGCCCTGGCTTTTTTGCCAAAGAGTTGCTGGCACTGTTTAGTGTGGGAAGGACATTTGCCTCGATAGCAATAAGCACCATCTTTGCAAGGAGCTCCATCTTGTATGTACACATCCAGTGGGCACTGAGAGGAAATCCCATTGCAGTACTCTGGCAGGTCACAGCTGTTGGTACTTGCCCTGCAGAGTGTTCCTGCTGGAAGGACCTGACAGTTCCGGCAGCATTTTCCAGATGCACAGGCTGAACCTGCAGTAAGTGTACAGTTTGGACGGCAACAAGGATCCTTTCTGCAGTTTGATTCTGAACCACAGTCACATTGCTCTCCACTTTCTACTATCTTATTCCCACAGTATTTACTCTTCGTGTTGTAGAAAGTGCCAGGTGCTGGTGGTTGACGAAGGCACGTGGCACCACGTCCAAGCAGGTCAAAGTAGTGTTTGTAACTACAGTCACTGAACGCATCGGTGTCGCTGCTGCTTTCGTGCATAATGCATTTCCTTCGTCTGCATTTACAGCCTGGTTTGTCATGGCTCATCCCAAGATTATGGCCCAGCTCATGGACAAATGTGACAACAAATGAGGGCAAATGAGTCACAGTGAAAGAAGCAACAGCTGATGCCCAGTGCTTATCACACACAGTCCCTACAAATGCCAATCCCATGCTGCTTCCAAAGTTCTGAAACGCAAATAAGTGAGCGACATCGTGGCGTATCCGTGGGAGCAGGTCTGACCTTCGCCAGTTGTTAAAGTCCGTAAGTGTCGTGCCAATAGACTTAGTAATGCTTATAAAGTTGCTTTGGGTCCAGATCTCCAATCCCACAAGAAACAGCCGGACAGAAAGCTCTTTGTACAGAGAATCCCCAATGTTGATGATTTCCATCACTTGCCTCAAGACTTCGGATTCGTTCCTACCCGACTTCACAAACCGCACGTTGTCCACGACCACTACTAACTTCACGTACGTGATGTGTGTCCACCATTCCTTCAGCTCCTCATTTTCCTCCTCTGCCTCAGGAGCTTTGAACCAGGGCAGCGCAGCCTTTTGGTGCTGCAGGACCTCAGGGGTCAGTCCGCAGGTGTGTCCCACGGGGCCGTTGGCCTCCTCCATACGGTAAAGGATGTGCCGAAAGGTCGGATCGTTGGGGATGGGCTCGATCTGGTAGGTGTCATTCTCCACCCAGAGCCCGCCGCGGAGCCCCCTGCCGCAGGTGCTGAGCGCCACCAGCGAGCCGGGGCTGCCCTGCACCGTGCCCTGGTAGAAGCAGTTGTCCCGCACGACGGGATGCTGCTCGCGGCGGGTCCCGTCCGTGCCGTAGGTGACCAAGGT